CAGATGGGGCAGATTGACAGTGTCGCTTCTGTCAGTCTGCCCCAGGGCAGCTGTGACTTCAACTGTAGTTTACACCAGAGACTGAATAAAGTAGTAAAGAAAAAAACTCTACATACAACTGATACATTATTATTACTATGTGTGTAGTACAGTACTATAGTACTGTAGTAGTAGTAGTACTGTAGTATGCAGTAGTGTGTACTATAGTACTATAGTAGTAGTACAGTAGTATGCAGTAGTGTGTATTATAGTACTATAGTAGTAGTACAGTAGTATGCAGTAGTGTGTATTATAGTACTGTAGTAGTAGTACAGTAGTATGCAGTAGTGTGTATTATAGTACTGTAGTAGTAGTACAGTAGTATGCAGTAGTGTGTATTATAGTATTGTAGTACTGTAGTAGTAGTACAGTAGTATGCAGTAGTGTGTATTATAGTACTGTATAGTAGTAGTACAGTAGTATGCAGTAGTGTGTATATATAGTACTGTAGTAGTAGTACAGTAGTATGCAGTAGTGTGTATTATAGTACTGTAGTAGTAGTAGTAGTACAGTAGTATGCAGTAGTGTGTAGTATTATAGTACTGTAGTAGTAGTACAGTAGTATGCAGTAGTGTGTATTATAGTACTGTAGTAGTAGTACAGTAGTATGCAGTAGTGTGTATTATAGTACTTAGTAGTGTAGTAGTAGTAGTAGTATGCAGTAGTGGTGTATTATAGTACTGTAGTAGTAGTAGTAGTATGCAGTAGTATGCAGTAGTGTGTATTATAGTACTATAGTAGTAAGTAGTACAGTAGTAGTACAGTAGTATGCAGTAGTGTGTATTATAGTACTGTAGTAGTAGTACAGTAGTATGCAGTAGTGTGTATATTAGTAGTACTAGTAGTAGTAGTAGTAGTACAGTAGTATGCAGTAGTGTGTGTATTATAGTACTGTAGTAGTAGTACAGTAGTATGCAGTAGTGTGTATTATAGTACTGTAGTAGTAGTACAGTAGTATGCAGTAGTGTGTATTATAGTACTGTAGTAGTAGTACAGTAGTATGCAGTAGTGTGTATTATAGTACTGTAGTAGTAGTACAGTAGTATGCAGTAGTGTGTATTATAGTACTGTAGTAGTAGTACAGTAGTATGCAGTAGTGTGTATTATAGTACTATAGTAGTAGTAGTAGTAGTACAGTAGTAGTAGTGCAGTAGTAGTGTATTATAGTACTGTAGTAGTAGTACAGTAGTATGCAGTAGTGTGTATGTATTATATAGTACAGTAGTATAGTAGTACTAGTAGTAGTAGTACAGTAGTATGCAGTAGTGTGTATTATAGTACTTATAGTAGTAGTAGTAGTAGTAGTAGTACAGTAGTAGTATGCAGTAGTGTGTATTATAGTATTATAGTACTATAGTAGTAGTACAGTAGTATGCAGTAGTGTGTATTATAGTACTGTAGTAGTAGTAGTACAGTAGTATGTACAGTAGTGTGTATTATAGTACTTAGTAGTAGTACAGTAGTAGTAGTAGTACAGTAGTATTGCAGTAGTGTGTATTATAGTATTATAGTACTATAGTAGTAGTACAGTAGTATGCAGTAGTGTGTATTATAGTACTGTAGTAGTAGTACAGTAGTATATAGTGTACAGTAGTGTGTATTATAGTAGTACTGTAGTAGTAGTACAGTAGTATGCAGTAGTATGTACAGTAGTGTAGTAGTATTATAGTACTATTATAGTACTATAGTAGTAGTACAGTAGTATGCAGTAGTGTGTATTATAGTATTATAGTACTATAGTAGTAGTACAGTAGTATGCAGTAGTGTGTATTATAGTATTATAGTACTATAGTAGTAGTACAGTAGTATGCAGTAGTGTGTATTATAGTATTATAGTACTATAGTAGTAGTACAGTAGTATGCAGTAGTGTGTATTATAGTATTATAGTACTATAGTAGTAGTACAGTAGTATGCAGTAGTGTGTATTATAGTATTATAGTACTGTAGTAGTAGTACAGTAGTATGCAGTAGTGTGTATTATAGTATTATAGTACTATAGTAGTAGTACAGTAGTATGCAGTAGTGTGTATTATAGTACTAGTAGTAGTAGTAGTACAGTAGTATGCAGTAGTATGTAGTGTATTATAGTACTATAGTAGTAGTACAGTAGTATGTATCAGTAGTGTGTATTATAGTACTAGTAGTAGTAGTAGTAGTACAGTAGTATGCAGTAGTGTGTATTATATAGTACTAGTAGTAGTAGTAGTACAGTAGTATTATGCAGTAGTGTGTATATAGTACTATTAGTACTGTAGTAGTAGTAGTACAGTAGTATGCAGTAGTGTGTATTATAGTAGTACTAGTAGTATAGTAGTAGTACAGTAGTATGCAGTAGTGTGTATTATAGTACTATAGTAGTAGTACAGTAGTATGCAGTAGTGTGTATTTATAGTACTAGTAGTAGTAGTACAGTAGTATTATAGTATATAGTAGTAGTATAGCAGTAGTGTGTATTATAGTACTGTAGTAGTAGTACAGTAGTATGCAGTAGTGTGTATTATAGTACTATAGTAGTAGTAGTACAGTAGTATGCAGTAGTGTGTATTATAGTACTATAGTAGTAGTAGTACAGTAGTATTATGCAGTAGTGTGTATTATAGTACTATAGTAGTAGTAGTACAGTAGTATGCAGTAGTGTGTATTATAGTACTTATAGTAGTAGTATACAGTAGTATGCAGTAGTGTGTATTATAGTACTGTAGTAGTAGTACAGTAGTATGCAGTAGTGTGTATTATAGTACTATAGTAGTAGTACAGTAGTATGCAGTAGTGTGTATTATAGTACTGTAGTAGTAGTAGTACAGTAGTATGCAGTAGTGTGTATTATAGTACTATAGTAGTAGTACAGTAGTATGCAGTAGTGTGTATTATAGTACTGTAGTAGTAGTACAGTAGTATGCAGTAGTGTGTATTATAGTATTATAGTACTATAGTAGTAGTACAGTAGTATGCAGTAGTGTGTGTATTATAGTACTATAGTAGTAGTACAGTAGTATGCAGTAGTGTGTATTATAGTACTATAGTAGTAGTACAGTAGTATGCAGTAGTGTGTATTATAGTACTATAGTAGTAGTAGTAGTACAGTAGTTGTATGCAGTAGTGTGTATTATAGTACTGTAGTAGTAGTACAGTAGTATGCAAGTAGTAGTGTGTATTATAGTACTGTAGTAGTAGTACAGTAGTATGCAGTAGTGTGTATTATAGTACTATAGTAGTAGTACAGTAGTATGCAGTAGTGTGTATTATAGTACTGTAGTAGTAGTACAGTAGTATGCAGTAGTGTGTATTATAGTACTATAGTAGTAGTACAGACGGTTCAGTGGAAATAACAGAGTTTGTGTGAGATTTGAATCTGAGCTGAACCACCACCACCACCACCAGCACCACACCCTGAAGAGGTGAAGAATGTACTCGCTCTCTCTCCCTCTCTCTTTCTCCTCTTTCTCTCTCCCTCTCTCTCCCTCTCTTTCTCTCTCGACTTCGTCCTCTCTCTCTTCTCCCTTTCTCTTTGTCCTCTTGTTCTCTCTTTCTTCCCTGTTCCTCTCCTCTTTCTCTTTCCTCTTCTCACTCTCTCTTTCTACTTTGTCTCTTTCTTCTTTGTCTTCCCTCGTTCCTCCCTCATTCTCTCTCCTTCCTTTCCCCTTCTCTCTCTGTCTCCTCTCTCTCTTTCACTTCCTCTGATTTTATCAGTCTCTCTCTCTCTTTCTCCTCGTCTCCTTCTGTTTCTTTATCACTCTTCCGAGTGACATTTCTCCTCTTTCTCCACCCTTTCCTCTCTATCACTCCCTTCCTTCCTTCTCTATCTCTCCTTCCTTTACACTCCCTTCCTCTCCTTTCTGTCTAGTCTTCCAATCTCTGCCTCTCTCTCTACCTCCTCCTCTTCTCTCTCTCCTCTTCTCTCTCTCTCTCTCTTCTCTCTCTCTCCCACACACAGGGAAGACATGTTTGTTTTTCTGACAGATGCTGGAAAAGTTTGAACGAGGGAAAAATGTGCCGTGTGGAGTGATGAGAGGAGAGAGAGAAGAAAGAGGAGGATGAGAGAGAGAACAGAAAGAGGAAGAGAGAGAGACTGAATACTACATGAATACTACTCTGAGAACACGGACGTGTTTTTACTTCTTCTGCAAAGTCCCACTGTACAACATTAAACCGTCTCCATGGAGACACACGGGAGATTCTACCAGGCTAAGCTACAGGTCAGATCTGTGGAGAGGCGAGCCTGATCACAGTAAGAGTGTGTTTTTCGGTGTAGATGGAGGATGAGTTTGGTCTGTCCGGGGTTTGTGTGAGATTCTGTCTGGACGTCGGGAAACGTCTTTAATGACGTAGTTTTGTATAAAACTACATATTTATATATTTTATAAATACTTTTTGTCGTATCTTCAGTTTTACACTTTGAAGTGTTTTTAGGAGCCAACGTAGAACCAAGTTTAACTTTTATACTATAATTATAATAACTTATATTTGAAACATTTTAGTCATTGTTGTATCTTGAATATTATTTTAGTAAGACACATGTTTCAGACGGTGACATTGTGGTTACAGCGGTATGTCTGTTCGTGCTGCGGATGTTCTGTGGCCCCCTGGTGGACGCACGCGCTCAGAAGCTCAAAATAAACACGAACAGACCGAATGAAAGATGCGTGACGCTCGTGACATTACGTCCTTACGCAGCGTGACAAATGACGGTGTGAAGTATCGATCCCGCACGCACGTGCGTTAGTGCGCGTGTCTGATCGGCACCAAACGGCCCGCGTGCTGCATCAAAATAAACACGTTCACACGTGCATCAGGCGCGTGCACGTTTACCTGGTGAAGAGTGCTCGTGAGCGCGTGCTCGCAGCTGCCTGGTGAAGAGTGTGCGTGAGGCGCGTGCTCGTAGCTGCCTGGTGAAGAGTGTGCGTGAGGCGCGTGCTCGTACCTGCCTGGTGAAGAGTGTGCGTGAGGCGCGTGCTCGTACCTGCCTGGTGAAGAGGATGGCTGCGTCGTGGTGCTGCTGGTGCTCGTCGTCCAGCGGGTTTTGTTGGTGCTGCCATTTGCAGAAGCTCTTGAGCGTCGCGGCCGCGTTCTTGCTCACGTCCAGCCCGCGCTCCTTCTCCGTCACCGTCATCACCTTCACCACGTTCAGGCGGATCGGGTTCTCGATGCTCGCGTGGCCGTACAGTTTGGACGCGATGGACGCGAGCGTCAGCAGGTAGTGGTTCAGGTCCTTGCCGTACTTTTTGGTCATGGTTTCATCCGCGACCAGCAGCAGCTCCACGTGCCGCGCTTTGGACACGGAGCGTCTGCGGCGCGCTCCGGGCACCGGGGAAATAAAACTGCTCCATCTCGTCCGGGCGTCTGGACCGTGTTCCGCGCGTCCCCCGCGCGTGACCCTCGTCCTCCGCTCCCGTCGCTCCTTTCGCCCCGCCGCGTGCCTCCGTCTTCTGCGCGAATCCCGCGTGCCGCAACTTTCCCGGGCGTCCCGCGCGGCTTCAAAGCTGAAGCTCTCGCGCGTGAACACATGTAGCGCGATCTCCGCGTCCCTGTCCTGCAGCGCGCGCACGTCGTGCTCGTGTCCTCTGGCTCGTACAATAGGAGTGATGGAATAGCGCGCGTGCTCCACGGCGAAGAATCCCTCGAGCCCCCCTCCGCAGAGGTTAAACACCGCCAGAGACTCGGGGTTGGAGTCCACGGTCCCGCGGTACACGCACTCGCGCGGCACAGACGCGGCGCTTTCGCCCACCGCCGCGAGCACGTACTGGGGGCTGAAGCGCGGCGACAGCAGCAGCTCGTCCCGCTCCATGTCCAGCTGGAAGCGCGCGCCGTCCAGGTACAGCAGGTATCCCACTTTGCCGCCTCCGTGGTAGATCCGGTCCACGGTCCGCACGATGCCGTCCGTCCTGCGCGCAGGCGCGAGCGCGGACCCGTTGACAGGTGGCAGGTAAAAACCCTGGAAAGTAACGGCCGCTCCGAAGTCCAGCAGCAGCAGCAGCAGCGCCAG